AGCTGAGGACCTCAGAGTGCAGCTGCACCATGCCAGGGCGTATGCGTGCCTGTGGCCAACGGGCGCTCGCTGCCGCCCAGCCGATGACACTTCCCAGGAACCAAGCACTATTCGTGGAGGATCAAGAAGGCGCCTTGGAGAAAAGCACAGCTCACAGGCCTCTGGCTCCTTCCCACTTGCTATCAAAGCTGGAAAGCTGTCTACTGTCTGAGTGGTGATCTGTCCAGAATGTCTGGTGCGCAGTCAAATACTAAAGAGAGAATGACCAAGCTGCACAGAACCGGAAATACTGCTTTGTAGGACGCTGGCGATGGCTGGTGATTTCAGAAGACTTTTCTATATTTGAAACAAACTGCAGAGGAATACCTCCTTGGACGAGACCATCACAAAGCCATCTGGAGGTGGGGCAAGGTGGCACATGCCTCTAGTCCCAGCTCCTCATGGCCAAAGCAGGAGGAATGCAAATTTGAGGGTAACTTTGGAAACCCTGTAACCAAAGACAACTTTTTTTTAAAAGGCTGAGATCTGGGCATGGTAGTGCACGCATCTGAAGCGCAAGCCACTCGGGCAGGCCAGGGCCACCAGCTGGCACACGAGGTGCACCGAGACTGTCAATTCTGCTCTCCATCAACTTTTTCCTACAGAAAACCTGCTGAATGCAGAGATCCAGGCCTATAAATCCCAGCTCAGGGAGGCTGAGGCGGGAGGATCACAAGTTCAAGGCCGGCTGAAGCAACTTAGCAAGACTGTCTCAAAAATAAACATTAAAAGTAATAGGGCTGGGGATGTAGTTTAGTGGTAGAGCACCTGCCTAGCATGTGCAAGGCCTTGATGTCAACCTCCGGTACACGTGTACATACACATGTGCAAAGAAAAAAAGGAGAAAAATAAATACACTTGTAATGTATAAGAATATATGTACAGGGCCAGGGAGATAGCTCAGTAGAATAAATGCTTGCCTAGCAAGCGCAGGGTCCTAAGTTCAATCCCTGGTACTGCCCCCCCCCCCCAGAATATATGTACAGCCTGGTGTGGTGGTACACACCTGTAATCCCAGCACTCAGGAGGCTGAGGCAGAAGGATTGCTGTGAGTTCAAGGCCAGCCTGGGCTACAAAATGAGTTCAAGGCCAGCCTGAACTGCATAATAACATTGTCTCAGACCAAAAAAAAAAAGTGTGTGTGTGTGTGCGCGCGCGCGTGTGCGTGTGTGCAGAATATCCACAGCAACCTAATTTATAACAGAAATGGTGGAGACAGATTAAACATTCATCAACTCACGAATGAAAACATGAGTTCCAGGAATTTAGCAGCTAATAAGAAAGTGTTATGGTTTGTGTCTAGGCGTTCCCACAAAGCCTCCTACACCTACAGGCGAAGCTTTCCGGGGCGGGGGTGAGGGCTGGTGACTGGATTAGGGGGCTTGCAGCTGACCTGCTGTGAGGAGGGGTCTCAGGGGCAAGTCTCTCTCCTCAGCTCTTCTCTTTCCTTCCCACACAGATGCTGTGAGGAAGCCCTGTCCTGAGCCACTGTCGACTGTGCGCTCTGCCTCAGAGCCAGCCGGCCAGGAGCTGAGTTGAGCCCTCTCCTCCTCGAGCTGTGGGGTTGAGCTGTTGTCTCAGTGATGAGGCAAATGCCTAACATAGTAAGGTAGTTTTTTTTTTTTCCCCTTAATCTTATTTTTTCTTCTTCTTTGGTAAAGGGAGTAAACTCAGGGTCATAAGCTACGATTCCAGCTCTTTTACTCTTGAGACAAGACTCATTAAATTGCTAAGCTGCCCAAACTAGACTCAAACTTTCAATCCTCCTGCATCAGCCTCCAAGAGTGCTAAGATTCCTCGTGCGCATGACCACACCTGGCCACATTGCGGCTTCTTGAATATACTGAGGGGGAGAAAGCTCTGGTCCTCTCAGTAACACTGCCTGTGGAAAGCTGATGCATTAATTCATAAAAGCAGTGTAGGATAACGACATGAATGGAAACACAAAAAGGATTTCATATGAACAAGGCAAAATGTGGTCTGCTGATCGCCTCCTTCCTACTAGTGCAGCAGGCGCTCTCTCCAGCCAGCTGCTGTGGTTTGGCACACAGGACAGGCTGGGCTCCTGAGGAACTGGCCAGCCGGTGTTCACACTTAATGTCTCAGCCCCTTTGTCTGAAAGATCCTGGAGTGATCCAGCTTGCCTGGAGGCAGGCGCGCCTGACTCGCTTCAGTTCAATTCCCCCCACCCCAAACACACACACACACACACACACACACACACACACACACACACACACAGCGAGCTCAGTACACATGGCCAGGGCAAGCTGAAGCAGAGCAGCAGCAGCTGTGAGGCCTCCATCCTCCCTCACAGCCCCCTTCTGACGCGACCAGAAATCCTACAGGGACTGTGGCAGCCAGGGGCACGGGCCTGCTCCTGACCAGGTCCAACTCTCTCTCTTCTTCCTTCCAATAACTGAGAGAGTTTTGTGCAGTGGTTCAAGAAGAAGCCTTCAAAAGAATCCACATCTCTTTCCTCCCTGATACTGAAGGATCTCCGCCCATGAAGAACTATCTTCTAACAGTACATTACATGGAATCTGGTGCTGGGTCTGTAAGGGTTTTGTTTTACACACCCAGTAAGGGCATCAATGGTCTATTCTGCTCTAATGGTCTGAGTTAAAAATCTATCAATGCAACAGAGAAAGGAGGAGCTGGTGAGATGGCTCAATGGTCTAAAGCACCTACTTAGAACAAGCTTAGCAAAGCACAGGGACCTCGGTTCAATCCCCCAGCACCACATGCCAGCCAGCCCCGCCCCCTGGTGGGCTGAGCTGGCCACACACAGACACAAAATAAATAAATATTAAAAAAACAAAAAACAAAAAACAAAACAGAGAAAGGAGAGCAGGCAGTCATTTGCACCAACAGCGCTGAAACCACGGGATACCTACATGCAAAAACCAACTCAACATGGATTATAAAGTGTGGAACCTACAGGCAGGAAATTTCCAGAAGAACATGAAAATATTTGTCATTTTAATCATTAAAAACAAGATACACGAAAAGCACAAATCTCTGTTCAAAAAACACTGCAGAAGTCTGGACTGTGGGGCACACCTGTGACCCCAGAAGGCTCAAAGCTGGAGCCTAGCTGGGTACCTTAGCGACTTAGCAAGGCCCTGGGTTCAATTCCTAGTACCACCAAAAAAAGAGGAAGACACTGTAAAGACAAAGTCACAGATGGGGAGAGAAACACTCTGATAAAGAACTATCTAAAATACATTAAGAACTCACAAATCAATAGGGAAGGAAACAAGCCATTTTTAAAAGCAAGCAAAAGATCTAAACAGTTCATTAATAGTAAATAATTATATAAACGTGCTCAATTAGACAAATGCAAATCAAATGCACAAGAAGACATCACTACATACCAATCAGAATGGCTGAAGCTTTTGAAGAAATAACAGTATTAGAAGTACTAGGGAGGCTACGGACAGCTGGAACTCTTGTGCACTACTGACGCCAACGCACAACGGTACAACCACTCTTCCATGGAAAAGGGCCTGGCAGCCTCTTTCTCCAGTGAAAGGTATTTCCTAGGTCTCAGCAAGCCTACTCCTATATACAAGTGAAATGAGAACTTACACTCACACAGACAGCTTTTTGCAAATGTTTATAGTAGTTTTATTTGTAACTGTCTAAAAACTGTAAGTGACCCGAATGTCTCACAGGCGGGGAACAGATAAGCCTCTTTACGTAACACAACAGTTACAGAACAACAGACTGTAAGGGAGCAGTGAAAAGGGACACCTTGCTGCTCTGTGAGACAACACAAGGGAGCCTCAAATGTTCTATGCTAGGCCAGAAGGTACACCCTGAATGGGTCCACTTGTATAACTCAGGAAAGGGCAGATCCTGGGACAAACATAAGCAGTGGCTGCCAGGGACAAAGGAGACCATAGCAGCACAGGGGACACTTCTTGGTGAGATCAAACTCCTCTACATTTTGACTGTTGTGGCAGTTACATAGCCCTATCTGACAAAACTATAGAAAAAAAGGATGACTTTTATTTTTCAAAGCTAAAAAAATGGAAACCATAAAGCCCAAAGCAAAAGGAAACACTATGAAAATGCCACAATGTTTCTATACACCAGAAACGACCTTTTCTCAAGGACCAGAAAACTCAGGTCCAGAATGCCACCGAAACCTGCATATCCTGTCCACCACCCGAGACCCTCTGCCAGGTCTAACAAAGGACACTGCAAAGGAAACTGCCTGGCCCACTCTTTAAGAACCGAGGATGCTCTTCTGACATAAAGGTTCCGGTACTACCCTATGTAAGGTCTAGTGCCTGTAGGTGACAGGCGCTGGAAAAAGCTGCAGGCTCCTTCCCAACTGCAGTGTGAAACACACCGCCCTCTGGTCCAGCCCGGGGAGACCCAGGATGACACTGACACCAACGGGCTGGCATCTGTCAGGTCTTGCGGCTCTCACCCTTGCAGAAGCAATGTAAGTAGGCCAAGGGGACAGAGGGACAGAGCACTCCAGTTACGGTGGCTGCCAATCACAGCCCCGCCCTAGGCTGGCTTGCTCTGAGGTCAGGGCTCACAAGCAGAGTCTGTGCTGTCTGCCTGACTGCAGCGGGCCTGTTGGGCTTGCTTCTACACGGCATCACACTGGGGGGCTCAGGACAGGAGACTCTCAATCCATCCCAGGGGCGGGGTGGTGGTCTCTTCACCCATGCTGCGACCCAGGCTGACCCAACCTCCTGCTGCACATGGGACAGCCACTCTCACGCCAGGCACAGAGTTGAGAATGGAAAATGAAAGCAGGACACAGTCACACGCAGACCACCTGACCCAGGTGCCCCCCATCCCAGCCACCTTGCCCTCCCCTGCTCCAGGATGTAAAAGCTGTAAAACCCTGGTGGGGCTGTTTCTGTCCTGGGGTACAAGGGGTATGTGGCATTTGTACCTTTCATTTTGGGGGATGCGAGGGGGTGTGGCATTTGTACCTTTCGCTTTTACATCCACCGACACCAGCTTCTTCGTCTCCGCTGTTAAGAGCAGCTCATAAGGGTGTTCGTCCTCTTCCCTGCCTGTGCTCCCCTGAGCCCTGGGTCGCATGGCCAGGACCTGAGAGAGAGAAACACTCAGTGCTGCTGTGCACGTGGCTACCTAGACAGGAGCTACTGCACACATGCAATGGCCTCCGCCTCTGCACCTGAAGGCCACCAAGGAGAGGTGAAGAATTCACGTGTCACATGGAAATCACCACTGCTTCCTGGTTCTGCACCTGCTAGGACTTGCCCTCCCAAGACTGCTGGGCTCTCGCTTCCCGCACCAGTGGGCAACCTGTAAGAGGTGGCCAGGCTGGCTCCACGCCTGACCCGATCCACCCAGGAGTGGGCACCCAGCTCCCCTGGCACTGGACTAGATCCAGAGCAGGCTGCTGCTCTCATGGGTGTGCACATTATGTGACATACCTGCTGCGCCACGATGTGGCCAGGAGGCTCCACCAGCAGCTGAATGGATGGGGCTTGGGCTCTGTGTCTTCAAAACTGTGAGCTAAACAATCCTCTTTTCTTTATAAAGTACCCAGTCTCAGGTAGTCCATCATAACAATAAAAAAAAGACCAAGACGACGCCTGGGCCACAAATTTCAATGGTCTTTGATTGGAATGTTCTCCTTCCTCATTTTATCCTTCAAAAAGGGGTGAGTAAAGGGCAAGCTCCGTCCTTCCCTTGCCTCTCCACCTCAGTGTTCTATACTCTCTTCCGTGGACAGCATTTCCTAAGTAGCTTCCGGCCACTCTGTACCCTGCTGTATTTTTCTCATTTATTCCCCCTCATACATATACATTATCCAGAGGCTGTAATCCTCATCTTCACAAGGGGAAACCAAGATAACTTCTCAGTATGCCTGAACCCTTGACATTTACTCGAAACAAGAGACTCAGCCCGAGAGGCTTTCTTCACAGGTACTCGGGCTGCAGAAAAGAATTTCCCTAAAGTGACTTCCTGCCACATGTACGGGGGTACAATTTAAAACAACTCCCCCATCTCTGCTCTGAAGAGCCAAGTGGCTGGAAGCCTAGATTTCTGGAGATGGTGCGGGGGTGACGGTGTCTCTGTATCAGCCTGAGTCAGGAGGCCAAGTGTCCTTTGGGAAAGAGCTGGACAAATGTGCTCCTGAACCTGCAGCTGTGAGGTTCTGGCCACTGCACGTGTGGGGGCCACAGCTGTCCATACCACCACACGGGCCAACTTTCCCCTTGATCCAAGCCAGAAAAATCATGCTGGTGCTATAGCCACTCTGGGAGACAGCATGAGAGCCCAGCTTTAGATAATGCCCCTGCTCCCCCATCCCAAAGCACCAAAGTCCCTTCAGCGGAGTCTTCCCTCATACACTGGCTCTTAGGACAGTGGGCCAAGCACAAACTCCCTCCCCAAGCAGTGTGGCTGGGGCATGGACTATGAACAAAGTAGGGCGGGGGAGTCCTCACTGAACCTAAAAGATAGCGAACCCTAGGAAGTGTGATCCCTCTGCACATGCTCCTACACAGACACACCCCACATGCGCTGCTGTCACCAGTTTGTATTTATTTTTTTGGAACTGGAGGTACAGCTTGCTGCATCATGGCCTAATGAGATGACAGGGGCTCTGCTAGCCGTTGACTAAGTGAGACGCTGCAGCTCCTCCCTGTTAACAAGGCCGTCGCTCACAGGACAGAACAATGTCTCCTTCCCAAATTTTGCAGAGCACAGCAGGAACCTCCACCTACCTCCACCTGGAAGCCAGGAGGCGTTCCCTTACAGCACAGCCCTTGGCCTGTGTAACTTATTGTTCGCCTCTTCCCAAGAACGCAATTAAGGGAACAAAGAGGACCTGCTAATCAGCTCACACTGTGCCAACTTAATACTCAGGCTTTACAGAAAATAATGCATGTTCTGCAGGTTCCTACACCCAGCCCATCACTCGGGCAGAGCTAGAAACCCAGCTCCTTGGAGTTGCCACATGGCCAAAGCTCGTGCAGAGCCTAGGCAGGCCTGGCCTGTGACCACCTCCCCAAGAGGCACTGGGCAGGATCAAGGACTTCCACCAGATCTGCTTCATGCCTGGTTTCTGTGCAGGATGGCTGGAATCTGGAAAACCACCCACCATCCAAGCTGGGAGGGATCCTAAGTGCCAGCCATGACAGGTGCACCTGGTCCCAGGTCTTTCGTTTGCAGTGGATGGATCTGGTCCCAGTGAGGCCCGGGGACTTGTGAGGGTCACGCTAACAGCTCACAGCAGAGCCATGGCCATAAACTTCAGTTTCCCTACTCTGGACCACATTGACCTCCTTTTCTCTGGCCTTCATTTTACTCCCCATCCAGTCTGGAAAGCATTCCCTCTTTCAGCTGTCTAATGAGAAGCCCTGCTCCTCCGCAGACAACAGCGGGTGTTCCTGTCTTCTTGGTATTGGCCCCTACAAGCTCTGGGATTAAAATCCCACAGTAAAGCAATCAACTGCTCTTCGTCAAGCCATCCAGCTTCCTCTCAAGCGGCTTATGTCACAGTGAATAAGTCAGTATCTGGTTCTCAACCGAAAAGATTCTGCTCTTTACGAAATTACTTCTTAATCTTTCTTCTCTTTCCTCTAGGGCTGGCAATAAATCAAAGCTAAAAAAAATATTTTCTGCTATGTGAACAGTAACACTACAGACCATAGCTACGAGCAGGCACCACAAACTGTGGCCAACGGAATGTCCAGTTGGGGCGTGGGTGGCTTCTGGGAAGAGAACACGGCAGCTGCGACCCAGCAAGCCTCACACGTTCGAGCACAGAGAAGATTACAGTCCGTCCCCAAGCAGCTGCAGCCTCTCCTGCAGGGCAACAGCATCTCAGCAGCGAGCATGTGTGCGTGTGCGTGTGCGTGTGCAATTTCTAAGCCAGTTTCAGAATCAGGTCATAACTGATAAGGTCTCCTGGAGCCAGGAGTGCTCCAGCTTCCTGTAAAGGAGGCGGCAGGGCATCTCAGAATGGCAAACCTCAGCAACAGGAGTGGGCACAGATGCGGGCCCAATACAAACCCTCAAGTCTGATGTCAGTGTCTACTGAGACAAGTAGTTTAGGGTTTTAAAGCTTTGTAAGTGTAAGAAAGAAAGATGGTGCAGGTGTGGCAGTGTACCCCCAATAGCCTGAGCGCCCTGGGAGGCTGAGGCAGGAGGACAGCAAGTTTCCGCCTATTCTGGGCAGTTTAGAGACTCAGATCCTATCTCAAAAAAATAAAAATTCAAAAGGGCCAAGGGTGTAACTCAGTGCAAGGACCTGGAGTTTAATCTCCAAGACAGAATAAAATAATGAAAGACAAAAGGAAGAGGGAAGAAAGACTGCAGCATTAAAATAAATAGCCCACGCTGGCAGATGAGCTATCCATTCAGACCCTGGTGTACGTACAAATCTGCCTGGGTCATGATTAAAAGGACGGTAACTCAGTGACTCAGGGCAAGGCACCTACACATTCACACACCTCCACTGACCAGTCAATAAAACTCGGGCTTCTCATGGTCTTCCAAATATAGACTGTGTTGGCCCAACTAACACATTCTAGAAGGTGAATTGCTACTCAGATTCTCCCATGCACGACAGTGATAGAGACACTGTCCTACCATGCCCTGTCAGGGTCACATGCTTTAGAAAGTCTTGGGAGCATGACAAGTCTTGGTTATCTAATGTTTGTCTGAGTCTTGTTCCTACCGTCAAGAGATCAGGAATTTCAATTCGGGCCCATGCTAAAGAGGTGGCACAAGGCATTTACGGAGACCTAGTCTCAACTGAATCTGCTCCACACTACCAGGTTTTTCTGTGTGAAGAAAAGAAAACAGAAGCCAGCCTCTCTTTATATAAAAATGTATGTGCGCTTCTATCAGCCAACGATATATCATTACCCAGAGGTAAAAATAAGAAGCTACAATTCTAGAGACCCTTTGATGAGCCATAATAAGCATTTTGTCATTTGGAGACAGAAAGAAAAAAGCAGAAATCTGGCATAGAAATCCTTCCCTATCTCCCCTGATTTAAATATTTTAAAAAAGATTTCCTTGAATTTTACTAAGCTAAAACCATGCTCATGGCTCCCAGTACTCATGCTGAGCAACAGAACCTGCCTTACTGGATGGCCTGGAGCAAGGCTGTGGAAACAGTGAGCTCCAGCTTCAACAGATGAAGTGATGAGATGAAATACCTGGCTTACATCTGCTGACATTTTAGAATTAAAGAATAATAACTGTCTATATTTAATAAACTACAAAATAACTTAAAATCACAAAGTATTTTGAATGCACACTGAAAAGCTATATTCTCTAAATGGTAAAAGGTATTTAAGGAGCATTTAAAAGACGAAAAGATCAAAGAAAACATAATTTTCTTCAAAACCCAAGTGAGATGGAGTTATTTCCTTGTGACATTTTTGTGTTAAAAGGCAGACCGCTCTTTTCAAATAAACTTTAATTTCTCTGCCTGCCCTTCCAACACCACCCCTGCTTCTTTTCTAATATAATCTCTGTAACTCAATTCATGGAGTGTGGGGCCTGCATGCAAATCAAGGGGGAAAAGGCTGAGATAGAAAGGAGGCTTTTGGGGCAGAACCACCACGCTTGCTCATGTGGCCCAGTCTAGATAGCAGAGACCAGGGGAAAAGCGACATTTTCTGTCAGGACTGCATGGGTCAAAAAGCAAAAGGTGAAACTGTTTCACTATGGACCCGGAGGACCCGGCATGCCTTGCTTCCCATGTGGGATGGTGGACTGAAATCCTTTTAGTGCTTCTGGGTGAGTGTGACAGCTCTGTTCCTAACCAAGAGGTGACAAGAAAATGAGAAAGGGAGCAGGGGGTGTAGCTCAGTGAATAGAGCACAGCCCCAGCACCCCAAAAAACAGAAGCAAAGTCCTCTCTAAGCACACATTGGTGCACTTTTCAACAAACTCCTATTTCAGTGACAGGAATAAACCCTCAACCCTCTACCTCAGAAGCTGTCAAGGGAAAATACTTCTTATCTATGCGGTCTTCCTCCTCTTCGTCGGGCGGTGGCTTTGCTGGAGGTGGCGGGCGTTCTCTCTGCAGAAGGAAAAATAAATAAATATTCCACTACCTCATTTTCAAGTATCTACATTTCCCGGTTTGCCTTTACGTTAGCCTTGGAAAATGGACAATAATGTAAAGAGCTCTCCCGAGAGTCTCAGGTGAACAGACAGAGCCCCATGTGAGCACGACTCAGCCAGCATGCTGTCCAGTTTTCACGCTGGCAGCAAACATCATAATCACTCCTTGACACCTCAGGCCCCAGAGACCGATGCCTGCGCTGAGAGCTCGTACCGGCGCGGTTTGAACACATCCATCATGATGCAATAGGCAAAACTTCAAGGAAAGGAAAAATCTGTGGCTTAACTTTCAGACTGCTCTAAGAAAAAGGAATCATTAGAATTAAGTTAGGAACTAGTTCTAAAGCCAAGGTTATTAAGGAAGAAGTGAGAAAAGTAATCAAGGGCACAACCTTAGATCCTTTCAAAGTTTCTATCTATCTCCTTTTATTAGCAAAAGTTCCAAGATGATCTGCTAGGCAGGTATGGTGGTGCCCCCCTGCAGTCCCAGCTACTCGGGAGGTGGAGATGTGAGGTTTTCCTGCGGCCGGAAGTCCAAGGCCAGCCTGAGCCACACAGGAAGTCAGCTCCTTCAGTAACACATACTACTTATCATTGCTATGTGAAAGCTTAAGTCACCTCAGCCTATTTTCAAAAGAAGAGTATCTGTCAGTTCTCTGACCTAAAGAGAGCTTTCCAGTAGTGTACATGGTATCAGAGATTAAAGCTAGGGCCTTCACACTGAGCTCCATCCTCAGCCCACTCTTTTATCTTGAGAAAGGGTTTCACTAAATTGCTAAAGTTACTCAGGCTATGCTCTAATTTGCATCCTCCTGCCTCAGCCTCCCAGAGTTTTGGCACAACAGATGTGTGTCACCATACCCAGCTGGCAAGCTTACTCTTAAAGGGCCATACAGTTAATGTTTTAGGCTTTGTAGTCAACTTTGCCATCCGAGCACATATGGAGCCACAGAAAATAGATAAATGAATGTGGCTGTCTTCCAATAAAACTTTATTTATAAAAGTAGGCAGCTGTAGATGGGCTTGCCCACTCCTACCCTGAAGAGGAGACAGTGGGCCAGTTATGGCTGAATTTGAATACAGAACGATCCTGGTGAAGGAAACCTGGAAGCTGACAGCTGAAGAGAGCTTTGCTGCTGCACCTGCTGTGCCTCTAGTGCTGTTCATATTCATTCCCAAGCCTGGGACCCATGTTTCAGCTCTCATTCCCACGGGAGGGGCCAGGGCCCTACCACAGGGGCTGGCCCATTTTTCGCCTGCAGGTCAGTTTACCGTGCTGCTAAGCGAGAGCACTTCTAAAGCTAGGGAAAGGTGAGTGCTGAATGATGAAAGAGCCCCAGAGAAACCTACAAAGAAAGATGCTTCTCCAACTCAGGGAGCTACCAGCATTAGCGTTCTGGCACCCACAGTATCTGCAGGGGCATGCTCAGCACTGCACCTCCATAAATCAGTCATCTCCACAGTCCCTGGAGCCAGACAGATCCCCAACGGCAACGACTGCCAAAGAGCTTTGTGAGCTGCAGCCAAAAGCAGCTATTAGGCCAGATTTCCCACCAAGTCCCACCTTCCTCATCCTTCCTTGCTCTCAGGTGCAGGAATGAGCCTGGGCCCAGTGCAGCACGTAAGAGAGGGACCAGCAAAAGGCACAGGGCCATGTCTTGTCCTCCACTGTAAACCAACCTGGGGACACAAGCAGCTGAGGAGAGCAGAAAGAAATACAGCAAGAAATGACCCATCCTAGGGGCCTTCCAAAGGTCAAAAAGCCTAAACAGAATAACTCAAAAGGCTTTTGAGAAAGGTGTGACCATCAGGGACATGGGAAGGAAACCGAAGTGCCCAGCGTGGACCAGAGGCTGGGTGTGCACAGCCAATCAGAGCCATCATCCATCAAGCTTATGGAGATTCAGCCCTTGGCCACTGTTAATTACTAGGTCATTAAGACTGGAGAGCTACAATACACAGGAGCAAGAATGCCTTGGTGTACGCTCCAGACACACCAGTTTCTGCCCAGCAAGTCCTCTGAGGCAGTCACCAGGCTTACTCCAGGAGGCGGGTGCTGCTGCTTGCCCGGGCTCCGGCTCCCCCTAATGGGCACTGCCGGTAAGCACCTCTGGACACGAAGCCTCCCCACAGCTGGATTTGCTCCAGTCCCTTGCACCTCGCAATGAGATGTGAAAAACCCAGCTGTGTCCACAGAAGTGCTGTGGCAGCGGTGCTCAGAGTCTGCCCTTGCTTTCACCACTCACAAAGACTCTGTCACAGCCATCGTTGACAGCCACTCTGAGGCCACCACAAGACTGGCAGCTCTCTAGGATCCATGCTGAAATGTTGGGATTGTTTTAAGGCATAGAAAAGGGCCCAGGAAAAAAGAACACCTCAAGACACCTCAGGCCAATCCAATGCCAAGCACACCTGGAAGGACCAAGGACCACCCAGCAACCAGAACAGCACTGAAATGGTCCTATGCCAGACGCAAGGCAGAGGGAAAGGCGGCTCTGCCCCGGGAACCTGACCCATGGTGCAGTCAGCACTGGGGTCCCAGCAGAGCCGGGGCCAGCTTAGCCACTGCCAATGAGCTATGCTCCAAATCTGGCAACGCAGGAAGAAAGGTCAGGGGACAGTGATCCAGGCCTACGCTCAGAGCACAGCCCTAGGCGGGAAGAGAGAACCACGTAGAAGCCTGCAAGTAGAAGCCAGCACCAGATAAGAACAGCAAAACTGGAAGATGGCCCTTAAGAAAAACCAGTGTTACCCCAGCCTCTTAGTCCAGTGCCTGGAGATGTCCTAACTGAATAAAAGAATGCCACAAGACAATGAACACAATGTCTGATGAAGCCTTTCTATAGAAGAGCTGAATCCCGAACCTGCCCTGTGGGCCAGGAAGGGGAGTGTGCACTCAGGGCAGACAGGAGCTCCTTTCACTGGGCATTTCTGTTCTCCAGAGAGGACACAAATAACACACAGCAAAAACCCGAAGACAGAGCAGCACAAGGCTGAACAGAAATGAAAGGCTTTAATTCGGTCTTGGCCAGTGAAGGAATGGAAGACACAAACTGGCTATCCTAAAATCAGAAAAATCAAAGTCCTGTCTCCATGAATCTGCATAGTTTTGCCACTCTGATCAGGGGAGGGACAGAGCAGAGCCCCATGAGGAAGAGAGAACAACAAGAGGACCCAGGTTTCCTGACAGGCAGGCACTGGGTGCCATGGTCCCTCTTCCCAGTGTTCGCAGCAGCCCCCGCGGCCACGGCACCCCAGCCACATACAGGCCTCACTCCAGCTGTCCTGGCGCCTGTGGCCTCGGCCTCCTTGCTCGTGGACTCTCGGTCTGACGACCGCCCGCTGGCCGAGCTATCTAGCGAGTGGCAGGAGACAGCGTTATACAGTGCCTCGTAGGGTCCCTCCTCCTCAGCATTGGTGTCAAAATCAATGATCAGCTCAGTCACTGCTTTCTCCACGTCACCTGAGGAGGGTAGATGGCAAGGAAGTCAATGAAAGGGCACAGCCTCAGGTTCGTACCCCAAGCTTCTCTGGCGCTCTGAACCTGTCTCAGTGCCTGACAGGACAAAGACTGCTTTGCTCCAGGGCAGGAATACATAATGCAGATTTCAGCAACTCTTCATACCCTGACACTTAAACAGATCGTTCCCTAATTCAATGGGAAGGGCTGGGGTACAGTTTGGGGGTGTGGCTCTGGCTTAGTGTACACTCTGCCCTGGTTTGATTCCCAGCACTGGAACAAACAAAAATAAAATAAGAGGACTTTAAACATCTATAAGGGATCTCTTTCAAGACCTTCATAAAGTCTCCATATACCGTAAAACCACAAGAGCACAAACATAGCCTATAAAATATAGCAAAATATTACTGAAAAGCAGGAAGAAGCACACATGAAGGGCCCCCAGGTATTCAAGTGGAGGGTGGCAGGCACTGCGGGACCACGGGACTTGCTTGCTAGACAGCTGCCAACCTCAGGGCTCGTGGGGTTCAAATCTGCAACTGCAAAGTGGTCAACTTAGAGGAGCTGGCTATCTCTAGGTGACTTGTAGGTAGTCAAAGCTACAAATACAAAATCCTTGAAAGCTAAGTGTTTAGTGTTTAATCCGTTACCAACAGATTATGAGGTTGAGGAGAAAGGCACAGAGAGGAGGGAGAGGAAGAACCTGCAGCAGAGACAGACCGGGCCCCGCGACTCTTTCTGCATGTGTCTCTGTTTTCATTTTCAGCTCCACTCCGTTTCTCTCCCCTTATTTATTGTGATGGGGGGCGTCAGTTGTTCTTTATTTTGTTGTTGTCATTCACCATACCAAGGACCTCAAGGTTGCTCAATAAATCTCAAGAAAGATCCTAGCTAGTGAGGGACGGGCTGGACACCCTAGGTCAGTACGCAGGCCATCTCTGTGGAGCAGACGATACGGCACCAAAACATGCCATCAGAGGACGCGCCTGCCAGCCAGGAGACACACCGTGCACTGGCTGCGGGTCAGCTACGCATCAGGCACTGCACTCTGTGGGTTCGAGTGTTCACGGAGCCCTCAATTCATCTCGACACAAGAGTGTCAATCACATTTCAGAGCCAACTGTCTGAGCAGACAGCAAAATAAAGTAAGAAGATGCCACAGGCAAAGGCCTAAGCTATGGCCAGGGAGACTTCATAAGGCAGCTGGAAAAGTAAGTGAACATAAACTTACTAAGAGCTCACGACCGCTACTCACTACTATTTGAATTAGGGTTTTCCATTCTGCCCAAGAATATTCGGCTCTTCCCAAGATGAGCACCCCGCTCCTGGCAGGAAGGAGTCTCCTCACCCTGAGACTTCTGTGCAATGGAGTCCACGCTGGACAGCAGAGGCGGCTGGGCTGTGGCGCTTTTATCTACATCTTTTGCACTTCTTTTTCCAGTCATGTGATCTATATGGGAAGATTCAAAATAAAAAAAAAAAAAGAAAAAACAGAACTGCACCAAAGACAGATGCCTCAGCTTGGCTAACGTGAGTCCAGCCTCCCGGATAGCGAGACAGACTGATACCTTCGATAAGTGCTGCTATCTGCTTGCTTTTCTGCGAAGGCAGTTCCCGGACAGTGTCAAGGGCAGTCAGTCCATGGTTATCTTTTATGTTGACATCAATTCCTAGAAAGGCATACCAGGTGGACAGGGGCATGAGTGTTTTTATGTCAGACTGAAAGAAGGTCAAATCCCAGGATGCCTAAGGCTCCCAAGCAGCATGACCAATAGTTTTCATCCACAGCCATTTAGTTCAGCGATTTAGAAACAATTCATACATTTATAACCAACCAGCAAAGACACACATACGCTGGGTTCAAATGCAGCCAGCAAGACTCCCCCTCCAGGGAGGCTAAGGAGGAACAATCCCATCCCTGGCACGCTGTGGAGACAAGAGCACTGCCGACCTCTCACCTGCAGCCAGCAAGATTTGCACCACATCGGTCTTGCCAAACAAAGCAGCCTCATGCAAAGCACTGCCCATCTCCGTCTGGAAGGCAAATGAGAGCGCAGAGCAGGCTGTCATCAAAACGATTCGGCGCAGCTCCATGTGACAAACGGGACACAGACAGGGAGGGGTGGGACAGTACACTACACAGAGCCCTCTGCCATTATCTTTCCAACTTTTCTATTACGGATTTCAAAACCAATCTCAGCCCACAGACAAGGTCATGTGTATACCACCAGCAGACCACATATGAGCAACACTTACTCATCCATCAGTGAAACTCCCAGGATCCCACTTCCTGGGTAGGATGAGTAACGAGAAGAACAGAAATGTGGGCTGGCCCACGTGAAGCTCCTCTGAATGGGGACAGCTACCGATGAAGGAAAACACTACACCGAGGAGACTTTCAGGGTGGAAAAGGTGGCAGTGGGAATGCACTTTTAGGAAGACAATAAAACTTTTTGGATTTTGAGAGTCTGCTAGCACATCTTTTCAGAGTTTAATGACTTCATCTCACCCCTGAAAAGAAACCAGAAAACTAACAGATTCACGGGGAGAATTCATTTATCTCTATAGAGTTTCACATTAAAACAAGCTGACAGATGGAAGCGCCTGACACGCGGTGTGGAACGTGCTAGATCAGAACACAGCCCAGCAGCGTGGTACTAGAGCCTTTCCCAGCAGGATGGCGGCCCCGGTGCTGGAAGGAGCACCAGCCTTACTACCTGGTAGTTGCTATCCATGCCAGCGTCGAGGAGGACCTGGACCACTGCCTTGTGGCCATTCCGTGCGGCCAGATGCAGAGGTGTGTGCTTCTTGGTGCTGCAGCTCAGGAGGTTGGGGTGGGCATTCAGTAGCATCTTCACCACCTCCAGCCGCCCGTAGAGTGCTGCCAGGTCCAGGGGGGTCTCAAATTTGTTGTTGCGCATGGTGGGGTCTGTGAGCTCCTCCAAGAGCACCTTTACCACCTCCGTGTGGCCATATTGCGCGGCACAATGCAGGGCTGTCTCGTTGTCATTGTTCTGAAGGGTTAACAAGTACAGCAATCAGCAAGGGGACTGGTGGGCTGGCATTCACCTGGGGTAATCACACATAAAACTGCTGAAATTTAAATGAGAAAAATAGCAGCAATACTTGAGGGCTAATCAGAGTCAGAAGCCAGGCTTCCCCCCACAAACAAGCCTGTCTATGCCCATCCATCACTTCTTCCCTGGTTCCTGCAAAAGGGAAACAGTGGGTCACCCCAAGACATTTGCAGTCTCGGGTGTGCTCCGAAGGATGCGTCTCTAGACTACAAGAAGAGTGAACGAGGGAACGTGGCAGGCACTGGATAGACGTCTGGTCCAGGTGAATACTGATCAGATCACTGCCATTGTTTCATTTTAACTTCAACTGGTTTTACAGTAATTTGCATCTGTCCAACTCTGTAGTTCTGAGTCTGGATTTGTCCTCCATCTATTGCCCTTCACATAAGGAGGTTGTCTTTGTAGCTTCTTGCATGCAAATCATTAAGCCAGCGATGACAGTTACAGAGCACAGCACCAAAAACCACTCTCAAAGATCAGCCAACAGCCACTTCCAGGGGAGGGAGGCACCACGCTGAGTCTTGGGGCACAGGGGACCCGTGCTGCGGGGCACCTGACCGCAAGCCGACGCATGCAGAAGCCACACTGTTAAAATAGCAGCAGCAAACAAGAGCATTTTCCACAAGAAAGACATGACCAGACACCGGGATGCACGGTGAGAGAGGTGCAAAATACTGTATTCCAATGTCACACTGCCATCTATTTATATTTATAACCCACAGCCCTCCAGTGCCAACTCTGTATCAAAAGGAATAGAGTCTGGAATGCACTGGAAAAACTCTATTCTCTAGTGATCATCAGAAGCAAAATGCTAGTTATTCCAATGGTTTGGTTTTTTTTTTACTATTATTGATAACATACATTTAGAGAAGAAATAATTTCCATGACCTCTGTCTTTTGAAAAGCATCAATAAAAGTAATTCTCCCACAAGACTTTGGGATTCCCAAGCTGACTCAGGAGGCTTCTGCTACTCTGGGGAGGTGAAGCTTAATTGGAGCTTGTCTACCAATTCAGTATTGTGCACCCTCAGTCACAATGAAGGTCAGAAGTAAAAATGAACTGTTTCCAAAACTGCTTTAATTCTATTAATGATATTTAAAGAGTAACAGATTAGGAGTTACCCAAACATGCATGCAATTCCATCTGCTTTTGATCTGCATTTGACGGCATCATCTTTTCCAGCTATACCAAGTGTACCAGAAATATCCAGAGCTGCTAGGAGGAAGGACCCCAAAGGCCAGAACAACAGTCCAGAAAATGTGACAGTGAAGTCAGGACAGAAAAGGTGGTAGCAGGAGGACATGCAAAGACAGAGACACGCAGAGGACACGGAGGGAGCAGTGCCAGCCCAGACGTGGCCCTCACAGCCGTGGCCCTCATGGCAGGGCGGGGTGAATCCACACCAGCTCAGACATCCGCAAGAAGGAGAAACACTGGGCAGAAACCAAAAGCCTGAGCTCCCTGTGCTTAACAAGCCGACTGGGGCACCCATCCAGAACTCCTTGAGCAGGAGCAAAGCTGTCACTTGTCCTTCTGATGACAACGCAGCTACACTGCCCACATCACAGGAGCTCTCTGCAGAGTGGTTCTGGCTCAGAACAACACGCCCGGAGAAGCTTACGAGGATGCTCCAGGTCTTACAGCTCAAAGACAGCAAGACAACAAGGCCAAGAAGCCAGCTTGTTCTTGTTAAAATCCCACTCCAGAAAAACTTATTTACTCTGAAGCAAAAAGTACTGTGCCTTTCACATCCAAGTTGTCTCTCAACATCCGCAATAACCTGTGCTTGAGTTTATAAAAAGTATGGCATTAGAGTCTGAAGAAATAAATATAAAACTATAAACCACCCAGAGGGCTCCAAAGGTTGGGAGTGGTCTCCCACAACCCCCACTCCCAGTCTAGAACAAAGACAGCTATCACTAAACTATCCTGCTAAAGGTGTTTAAAATCTGGATCACCACCAGCCACTTTCCTGCCTTACATTAAATGACGCAACCACATCTCTACAGAAAGTTACGTGTGAATTCACAAAGCAGGAAACCTACTGGTATGGTTCAGTCTTCCCAGACCTGGTCTAGCAATTATAATCCTTCTGGGTTTATGGCTGAAGTGACCACATCTCTGTACCACTGAACATACCACTGCAATGAGCCCGTACTATGGTTTCCTCTTCAAGCCTGACAACTTTCAGCATATAAAGTCAGTAAGCATCGATTCATGGACCCACAAGAAAGGGACTCCAAGGAGAGGCAAAGACTGAATTGTCTGGAATCCTTCCATTTCACACCTTCACGTAACACTATGGGTGCTTGCCCCATCTCGAGAGTTCACTACATCAGCCATGTGTGGTGGCCAGTGGCCCGGGCCCATAAGCCCAACTACTCGGAAGCTGAGCCAAGAGGATCATGAGTTTGAGTCCAGCCAAGCAACTTAGTAAGGCTGTCTCAAAATTTAAAAAATGAGAAGGGAATGTAGCTCGGTGGTTGCGCACTTGCCTAGTGTACGCAGCAGTCCTGGATTGAATCTCAGCACTATAAAAAAAACAAAAACAAAAAAATGACTTCCCGGAATTATGTTACTATAATTGAACTGGACTGGGGGAGGGGACTTGGATAAAATACTCCAATTTTCTCCCAAATCTTTGGCACAAATGCTTCACTCCTACCCATCTTAAGGCTCGTTTTCTGTTTGTTTGTTTGTTTTTTTGTTATAGTCTGTACCTCTAAGGAAAAAAGGATTTCTATTAAAACTTCCAACATCTGGGGCTGGTGAGATGGCTCAATGGTCTAAAGCACCTACTTGGAACAAGCTTCGCAAAGCACAGGGACCGCGGTTCAATCCCCCAGCACCACATGCCAGCCAGCCCCTCCCCCTGGTGGGCTGAACTGGCCACACACACACACACACACACACACACAAATAAATAAAATTTAAAAAAAAAGACTGGGTGTGGTGGCACGCGCCTATAATCCTAGCTCTTGGGAGGCTGAAAACAGAGGGATCACTACAAGTCCGATCTGTGTAGTAAGACCCTGCAGACCCTATACTAAATACATTACTAAAAAAAAAAAAAAAAAAAACACACACACACACACACCTGACATTCCATGCCTTGTGATCTGATACACTAAAAAGGACACAACATCCCTTCCATAGCCTTCCGGCCCCAAGCGTGGCACCAAGGGAATGGCAGGCAGGCTGGGGACAGCTGCCTAGACTCCTACACACCAAAGTTCTGAAAGACCAGGACAGGAGCGAGTGCATGTTATGTATGATCCTGGACCAGGGCAGGAAAAGTGCTCCAAAGGATTTTATTGGGTTACCTGGCAAACAGTACACACACACACACACACACACACACACACACACACACACACATACACACACACAGAGCAAATGGGCCACATGTTAACAAGGGAGCGAGAAGACACAAATATTCTGAAGTATCCCCATGCTGTAGTTCACTGCTTTATTCTACCACCTTTTTTAAGTTGGGAATTTCCAAGATAGAGTAAAAAGCTTTTTCAAAGCTTTGGGGTGATTCTGATGTAACAAAAAATAAGGAGAACTGGAGACAACTGATCTGAGGCCCTTCCTGCTCTGAGACTGAATTATCTTTAAATGAACAAAAAATAATCTACCCTAAAATAGACTGTTGTCCATGTTATAATATTTCAGACTAAGTTCGAAGAAATTGTTTTAAAACAAAGGAAATGCATCTCGAGGCACCCGCTCCAGTGAGGATGAGTTACCCTTGGGTAGCTCATGCTGACTCGCACAACAGGACAAGCCCAAGGCACCGAACAGGACAGCAAAGCTCACAAAGACCGCAGGCTCCCTGCGAGGCAGCTGAGATGCGCTCCTGACAGCAGCGCCACTGCGGGGGATTAATGTAATTTAGCACAACAATTCCTAGACACAAGCCGATGAATAAAACCCCAGACTCAGGACAAAACCTAGGAGGTGAGATGGGAAGCAGCCCCTGCACCTTCAGAGGCACCCCTGAATGTCCCTGTGACCTCTGACTTTGCAGGGTGCCAGGAGAAAGGCAAAGAGTAGTATTTTCAGAGAAATCTGCGCTACTACATTTAGACCAATCTGCTTTCCATATGTAAAATCAAAGGCTAGGAAAATGTACATTTAAGAAGCAAAGTCAAGAGCTGGGTACGGTGGTGCACACATATAATCCCAGCACTCAGGGGGTTGAGGCAGGAAGATGAATGTGAACTCAAGGCCAGCCCAGAGCCACACAGTGAGACCTTGTCTCAAACAACAGAAAATCCAAAGTCATACTCTTTGATCAAAACTTTATAAACCAATGAAATCACTGACAAAGAAAACAAGAGCCAAAGCCCCACCCCACAAAACCCTGTCTAATCTAACTGAACAGTTTTATTAAATGGCTTTTGAGAAATAAACTATATATAGTTTTTAAAATTTGGAACTCAAATACTACTGGTTATGTATCATCATCATCTTATTGTTATTATTATTATATTATTATTACTATTATTATTAATAATACTGAGATTGAGGTACATCCTTAGTCCTTTTCAGTTTTTTATTTTTTATTTGAGACAGGGTTTTACTGAATCACTAAATTAGATTGGGCTTGAATTTAGAATCTTCCTGCCTCCACCTCCCAGAGTGCTGGGATTTTACATGTACACCACCATGCCTGCATTATCTTACTAAAACCCCAAAGCAAAAGCCAGGCACTGTGGCACATGCAGGCAATCCAGCTAATGGAGAGACTGACAGAAGCATTACAAACGTAGGTCCAGCCTAGGAAACTCAGTGAGTCTCTGTCTCAGAAAATAAGGACTGGTTTAGACCAATTGTCTAGCATGCAGGAGGCCCTGAATTCAATTCCTGATAACAACAACAACAAAAAACCTTTCAACCATCCAGCATGTAAGTGGCAAAATCTATTTTATAGAAGAGGAAACCAGTTTCAGAGTTAAGCAGCATGCTCATCAACAAAACTGAAATGCGCAGCCCAAAGCTCAAACTTGGTCTGAGGGGAAAGCCTCCCTCCACGTAATCTGAGTTTTCTCTCTACTGCTCTCTGCGCCCTCATCAAAAGATCAATGAAAGAGAGTACCATCCCATTCGGTAATGCGAATTAAAGAGAAGACAGAGTACCAGAGTATCTAAACAGAGGCCACTGCTGCAGACCCTAGGCCAACTGCTCCTCCACCCTTAAGGTCATGCAGCCAGGGCACAACACATCACCTGGGGCGCCATGCCACTGCGGGGGAGGGGCTGCATTGCTAAATCAGTGTTCTCAAACAGAAGCATGAAATCCTTGCCTCATGTTTACAAGGCAAGTAAGAAAGTAGCCAATGTGGACGAAGGGACATTTTGACCCAACTCCAGATTGCTGTCAAAAAGCAAACTTCGGCAAACCTCTGGACGCAAACACGGCAGGCAAGAGTGCTGAGCAGCAAGGCTGCCCCACCCCAGTGATACGCTCGGCCTCTTGGGCAGTGAGTGCGGTGAGAGCTGGGGGTCATGACTACGCCCTGGGCCGCTGCCTGGCCCTGTCCTCCACCCTGCCTGGCAAGCGCCCTGCTGGCCCTACAACCTTGCTTTTTCTCTCAGAGCCCTCCATGGGCCTAGAGTGAGGAGCACAAAGAGGCGCTGAGCTGGGGGTTCTTCTGAGGCTTCAAAGCACCACACTAGGAAGAATGAGCACCAGAAAATGAGAGGACAGTGGCGAGAGACAGCTTGGGAGGGAACACACCTCGACAGGCTACTGAAACCTGAAGAAAGATTAGACACCACTGCAAAAGAAACCTGGAAAGCACACTAAAATAATTTTTTTGATTCCAGGAAATATAATATAATCATGTTTCTGCACTTATTTAAAAGTAAGCTAATTTATAGGACTATATTTTTGTTTTTAAAATTTCAATGATTTTAGAAATTCCAACAGTAAGTTAAGCATACAATGCTTTCTCTTCAATTTCTCCATTTCCACCGTTTCTGACATTCCCAACCTTTCTAGAATTAATATGGGTTTTCAAAATCGCCCCAAACCCAGCATAGCTGCCTTTTCCCATTCTCAGACAAGCCAAAAGCAGATGGGCCGAAGTGGAGTAGTAAGGGCGAGGTGGAGCCAGGGCAGCTGAGAGCGGGAGCCAGAGGGGCCCGGGGGGAGGCAAAGCGGGAGAGACAAGGCAGCAAAATCCTGGCGGCACGTACACACCTTGGCATTGATATAAGGGTCAAAGGGGCCGTACTTTTTGAGTGCTTTGATCTCAAGAGCATTCTACAAAAAGGAGAGGAAAAGAAAACGTGATGATAAAATGGATGAAATATATCAAAGCAAAACACAGCCCCAAAAGGGTGCAATGCGAGAACTCACATCTGCCCCTGGGTGCCCTGCCGGGAAGCCAACGGGGACACAACCTCTGGGGCCCCTCACCTCTATGCCCCATCTAATGATCCAAATGAAGCCACACGAATGGTTTTTAAATAAATCAATGGCATGCTTGTAACTACCTAGATCCAAGGTTCTTCGAGCTGCAGCAGACCTCCTGCCCAGCCCCTACCCCACCCACCTGCCTGCATACTCAGAGCCCTGGGCAGGTGGCCCACCTATCAGCGCAGACTCCAAGCAGGGCAGCCGTGAGCAGGAAAGGCTAGCACACTCAAGTGGCCCAAAAATCCAAGCAGCTGTGTGCCGAGGCAAGAGTGGGCAACGGCAGGGTCAGAAATGGTTGCTGGGAATTGCTTAAATGAAGACCTTAACGGGTGACCAGGATTTTCAATACTGAAGACTATTAGTCACAAGCAAGCTTCCTTATGCATCTTCTTCAAAGAAGAGACACTATCACTTTAGTCAGGAGCATTTTCATTTAGCCTCCAAAGAGGCAATTTTCATGGCAAATGTTATGAATGGACATCCTCACTGATGACTGTAAGTGTCTGCTGCTTCCTACCCAGAAAACAGAGTCCCAAAAGGGAAGGATAAGCTGATTAACAGCTAGTACGGCTGCGCTCCAGATAGAGCTATTTGAGACCTCTAATTTTCTTATGCCTCAGAGAGCAGCCGCACTTCTCAGAATCAAGGTCATGCTTTTCACCTAACAGTTCACTAGGTCTGGCACGGGTCCCGCTGACAGATGGATTTGCCAGGACCCGATTTCCTGCTTCTGGGCGGGTAAACCTTGAGCTAATCCTACAGGTAATTTAACAATCTCCTCTCACTGAAGTCATGAGGAAAACTGTTCTAAGCTTACTAAGAAAGAGCAGCAGCTCCCTCATCCAAGCACCAAGAGAAGCACCTGCTGCTGCTCAGCACCTCAGACACGGGAGAACGCTCGTCGTGGAGCACAGGGCCAGCTCCCCACCGCAGCCACACAGCCTTGGCCGCCCCAGGGAGGAGGTGTGAGAGAGGCCTGGCTCAGATATGCATGATTCAAGGGGCTTCCCCGACGAATGCAGGGAGAGAAGTGTATTCTGAGAGTACTTAAATCCAGGGCCACTGGAAGGTCTGTCTTTTTTTTTTTTTTAAATATGTTGCCTCCCTTACTTTCTAAAAATTCTCTCTCCTTTTGCAAAGTATGCAGGCACTGAAGCTAATACCTGAGGCTATCCTGGAATTGACCTTTATCCCACTGAACCACCTCTAGCCTGCATTCAAACCTTTCTAAGTTCTGAACTCATTTTTCCACAGGAACACAAGTATTTCTACTACTGCACCTTCAGACGTACGTAAAATACCAAGATGCTCACGCAGGACTGACAAACACTGGGAAAGCCGCACTGCCATGCCGGTAGCACAAGCACAATTTCCAATTAATAAAGCCGGCCCATCTGAAGTTGACTGCAATTCTAAGGTTTTGCATTATTTCAGGTGCTGCACGTAGTGTGACTATTACGCACTACATCATCGTAGTGAGTCACTAACTACCACCATCCCACACCTGCACGAGTCAGACGCATGCAGGATGCCTGCCACAGGGGATGAGCACGAGTGCAGGCAAGGGGCACACTGGCTGTGGAGGGGCTGGCTCCCCAGGACCTGTGCCCGGGAGCTAGATGCGGGTGGGTGGCAGGGCCGGCGGCAGCTATGCGCAGCTGAATGGAGAAGAGAGGAACGCCTCCCCACTTCCGACCTGTTCGTTGACTCTGGTGTGTGAGGGCCCCTGGTGGATGAGCAGGCGCACTATCTGGGCGTCTCCTTTCCAGGCTGCCAAGTGCAGGGGGTAACAGCCTTTGGAATCAGCCACGTTGGTCAGGGCATCGTTCCGCAGGAGAACCTCAACCACATCCCTGAAAGGCAAAAATCAATCGCGAGTCTGCAAAACCCAGAAGTCTTTCCTTCCTTCATTTGCAGAGCACAAAGCCCTCTCATGAGCAGGCTTTCCTGGGGCTGCCTGCCGCCACCCTGCCTGGCTTTACCCTCTATTCCGGGAGCTACCTCTGCACGTGCTAAGCAGCCGACCAGCCAGAGCTGTGCTACACTGACTCACGGCCTCTCTGTTGGGCAGTATTTCCACGTTCGCGGTGTTTAGACAGCAGTCTGGGAGACAGAATTTACATAAAAACAGTTAAACAAGACAAATGTCATTGTTCACTGCATTATTCAGATGGTGTAAGGGTGTGGGAGACCAAAGCAAACAGGCGGGGCAGAATTCAAAGTTGTTAGAAACATAAGCCAGACACACATGGCATCGTCTGATAGCTCCAGAAAGAGGGACTTGGCCTTCTTCTTGGTGACACCATTAAGTTAGCAGATACCAGTGCTCAGTTATTGCCATGCGCACAGGTCAAAGAAAATCCTCCCTGCACATAAAAACTCCATGGTCGTCTCTAGGGATTTCTTTTCCAGCTTTAAGGTGACTATAGAAAAGACATAGTGATCATACTTAATATAGTTTTTTGTCATTTTTTCCCATAATTTTATTGAGAAATAAATAGCAATGAGACAGCTTCAAATCGAATTGGTAGGACAGTTCCAATAATTAACACACTGCATACTGCCTTCTTAGTGGTTGTTTGTTGTACAAGATGCAGACATGATATCCTATTTACAAACACTATTAGACCAAATCCCTCTATTCCTTGAATTAAGAGAATGTAGCTATGTATCTATCCTAACCATTTTGAATACACAGATACAAGATGGACATTTATCCATATCCCCTTTTTTTGTTTAGTTCCATCATTTACATATTATAGGTGTGTGAACTCAGCAAAATATTCCAAAAGAGTCCAGTAGTCCATAAAAGTATTGGGTCTTCTGCTTGACTGGCAATGTCAGAAGTTGTTGACCTGAGTTCCCTACAGCTCAACATAATGACATGGCTTTATTTCTTATACTTCATTTTTACACTTTTCTGCTGGATGGTTAAGACCAAAAAAGGCAAGACCTATGTAAGAAGAATTGTAGCTTTTGGATCTCATAAGGTCAGTCAAATCCCCTCAGGCTTTTATCCTGAGACCCTGTACCTCAGATTGTAGATCCTTTGTCAGTGTCAGCCACATGGATGAGTCACGGCCATTGTTTGGCTAATTTGCTCTCTGTGAAAGCCTGAGAGAATGTTTTCTCTCCATGTGACTCTCCCTAGGCACACTCTACATCATCAATCACTTTCCTCTTTGGCCCCTTAATCTCCTTGATCAGAAAATTTGGGACACAACCGAGTTACATGATGTTACAGTACAAGTTCTCATATGTCCTGAGTCTTAATTGACCTTGGAAGGCTAGGGCCAAAATGTTGGCTTTCCTTGCGGCCTTCCTTTTTCTCTAATTTTTGATCTGCAAACTTAGGTTGTTAACCCTCCAGAAGAGAAGCTTATTGTTATTGCCATATAATCTAGACTGTTGAGCTTAACCTCACTATCTGTCTGAATATCAAACACCTTAGGCATTACATGGAACAGGTATCTTTCATAAAGTATTGATATGTTAAACTTTAAGTCCCTACAGAATGACAAAAAAATTAAAATATACTTTAAAAATAGGAATAAAGAATTATATATGTTTACACATAAGTCCAGAAATCTAACCATATACAACACTGTTGCAGGACAGTCCCACAACACTCCTTTTCCTGTCTTTAATATAGTTTAGAAAGCTTCATGTTGAAGGAAACAATTGTGGTCTTTCTTTGCAGCTGAACCAAATACTGGACAATTAATGTGGAAAACTACAGCATAATGAGGGCCTGCTTCTTGTTTTGAAAAATCTAAAATGAGGGGCTGTAGTGTGGCTCAGAGGTAGAGGATGCATGTGGCACGTGTGAAGTCCTAGGTTCAATCTCTATACAGTTCAGGCTGGCCTCGAACTTGTAGGGATCTGCCTCACCCACCTGAGTGCTGGATTACAGGCATGCACCACCACACCCAGCCTGAAAATGAAACTTCTACTGCTCATCTCCTATAATATTTGCTTCAAACACTCTTGAATAACCTCTATTTTGTTATACTCTGGATTCCATTCTTTACACTGAGGAGACCTACTCAGGAGACACAGGACATTTCCCCTTCTGTCCAGCCACCACACAACCCTCCCCTGGAGGGCAGAGCTGAAGCCAGGAGGCCTGTACCTTCCCTCAAGATCTTTTGCCTAAGGGAGACCCAATTCCAGACATAAGAGGAACAGACAGGCCATGGGATCTATGCGCTTTTTCTTTCTTTTTAGGCTACCTTTCATTTATTTATTTATTTATTTATTTGTGTGTGTGTGTGTGTGTGTGTGTGTGTGTGTATGTGGCCAGCTCAGCCCACCAGGGGGCGGGGCTGGCTGGCATGTGGTGCTGGGGGATTGAACCGTGGTCCCTGTGCTTTGCTAAGCTTGTTCTAAGTAGGTGCTTTAGACCACTGAGCCATCTCACCAGCCCCTATGCGCTTTTTCTTTTAATGTGGTTTTCGTTCAACAGGCTGATGTTATGGGGAATGAACAGCCAGTAAAGAGAGTCACTAAACAACTACTCTAACAGAACGCAAGTTGCTCAGGACTGCACAATCTATTTTCACATTTATCTAAGGGTCAATCACGCTGGATTCCTGCCCTAAACTGGATCCTTATTCTTACATCCTTGTGTGATAATGCAATACTGTATCAGAGAAAAGGACAAGAAGGGAAAAGGTAAAATTCATCAACTTTGGCTAACAGTTGCTGGGATGGGTAGGAAAGGATGTCTAAACTGTACACTAAAAACAGACTCAGGGATTCCGCAGGACTAAGTTTAGTTTTTCTTTTCCTCTGAGCCATCTTAGTCAACGCTTATAGGGAACAAAAGGGACAGCTGGGGGTGTGGGCATGGGCGGGCAGGGACAAAGCGCTCTACTCACTTGTGACCATTCAAAGCAGCGTGGTGCAGCGGTGTGTAGCCAGTGCTGTCAACGCAGTTCACATTTGGCCCTCTCCACATGCTACTGGGGAAAAAGAGAGACAGGTTCACAGAAGGAAGTCACAGAAAAAGGTACGGTGGGCTGGCCCCTGGGAAAGACTGAGCGAATGGGAGGCTTCTAGGGAACAGCTTCAAAGGATGCCCAGTGGGTGGACACCAGGGACACACGGCGAGGAGGGCGCAGGCCTGCCCGTAAGGCAGGGCGTGCAGACCACAGTGCCCCTGGGGAGAGATTTCTCTGCACCCTGCTGCTCACCAGTAACTTCATTACTAGCTCGGTCTGAGACACTTCATTGTGCTCCCAGTTCACTAAAGGTTATCAACAATCCCCTCAGCTGCATGCAGGTACTGAACACCCTTGCCCTACTGGTGGCAGATGGCTCAAGAGACACCGCAGCACTGACCACATGATCAAGACAATGCCACACGCACAAGGCACACATACTAAGCTTGTTCCAAGTAGGTGCTTTAGACCACTGAGCCATCCTTCCAGCCCCTAATGGAATAAGGATTTTTTTGTTGTTGTTGTTCCTCTCATGCCTTCATGGCACGTTGGCCAGCGGGAGAGTTGTGAGGTTCGAACTCCAGCCACCTGAAGCTGACAGCTTTGTGGAAGCAGCCACTTAAAGGACTGAGCTAGGCCCAGGCTCCCACGGCACACATACTAAGACACAAGTGGCCAATGTGTCTTTCCTTTGTAAATATAGCCAGCCCTCCACAGCCGTGGGACAGAACAAAAAAGTGCCTGTACGAGCACATACAGACCTTCCCCGTCACTCTTCCCTAAACACAGGAGTGCCACTCTTTACACAGCATTTACACTGTCCTAGGTGTCAGAAGCAATCTAGAGAAAGATTTACTATACACACAGGAAAATGTATGTAGATAATACCCAAACATGCTACTGTATATAAGAACCTGAGAATTGGAGAACTTTAGTGTCTGCGAAGAAGTCCCTCAAAGATACTGAAGAATGAATGCCGTGTGTGTGTGTGTGTGTGTGTGTGTGTGTGTGTGTAAACAGAGCAATTAGAAAGCTTTACTTGGTTCAGAAGTACAGGGAGCAGGCGCCCTGCTTTAGTCACCAACGCCTTCACTCTTATTCCTGTCTCCTACCTCACTGCATTGGCCAGAGAGTCTAAAATATTTAGCAAGTGACAAGCTTTTCTTTCTAAGAAGAACACTTCTGATGGTTTATGATGCATACTCTGTAAAGTACTGACAAAGTATTTTCCCCCTGCTTTTTATTTTTTATTTGATTGAATGGTGGGTCAAGTGTGGTGCTATGGATGGGAGCCAGGCCCACGCAGGCCGGGCCACGCTCCACCACTCAGCTACACCCCAGCCCCTTTTCTTTTTTAAAGCACTATTACAGCTATGCACTTGTTTAATTTAAATGCATTTTCTGCAACAATGAAGCTAATCCATTTTTCACATTTAATGACCTAAATATGCTATCGATAGGTTTCTTAATGGTTCCTTATGTTGAGCCATTCTCTCATTCTCGGAATAAACTTTACTTGGCTGTTCTCTATCATAGCCTTGATGAAATCTACCTGGGAATATCGCTTGAGAATTAATTACTATGGATTTAACCTACTCTACCCTACATTCCTAAGTGAGGCTGGTTTAGTTTTTGCTTTTTTGCTATGATTACTGGCTAGTATCAGTGTTTGGGTGACAGATCAGCTAGGCAGCTGTCTCATTTCTATATCAGGAATCACTGATATAAAGCACAAAAATTATAAGGAATTGTCAGTAAAACCACCCAACCCAGAGCCTTTAGAAGTGCAGATGCCATAGGCAGCATGAACATCAGGAACATTTTGGAAATACTCATCAAGAGAGAATAATTATAACTACAATACAAACATAGAGCAGAATAGCATATGCCAGTTGTATTGCTCTGTGATAAGAAATTAAACAGTAAAGAGTAAAAAAAAATTATGAATACTCTATAATAATTCAGAAATAGTCTATGAGAGAAATTTATCAGAATAATAGATTAAGTATACAGGTACATTCTCTCTCTGCTTAAAGTTTTATAACGTGATGAGGAAAAAATACAGTAACCTAATCTACCCTGAGAGATAGGCAGCTGGATTAATTTGGCCAAAAACAAAACAAGAAATGATATCATGAAATAACTGACAACGTTAAGAAACTCTTGAGGGGCTGGAGAGATGGCTCAGTGGTCTAAAGCACCTACTTGAAACAAGCTTGGCAAAGCACAGGGACCGCGGTTCGATCCTCCAGCACCACAGGCCAGCCAGCCCCGCCCCCTGGTGGGCTGAGCTGGCCACACACACACACAATAAATAAATGTAATAAAAATAAATAAATATTTAAAAAAAAAAAAAAAGAAAAGAAACTCTTGAAAGGCAAAAGGTGGACAAGTTCAGATCTACAGAGACACAAATCATAATAATCAAATGCCACTTCTCACCCGGCACATGGGTACAACAGAAATCATGACATTATCAAGTGTTTGCAAACAAGCACAGTTAAAACACCACCGGCCTGAGTTTAAACTGGTGGGCTCCTCTGGGAACACAATCAGGCAGCATCTTTCAAAACCAGAAATAGCTTTCACTGCGAGCCAGCACTTCACTCCCAGGCAGCTCTCCAACAGAAACATTTGTACACGTGCTCAGAGATGCACGCCGGCACAGGGCCGCTGTAATGGAAGAGTAGCTTAAAACCCTGCCGTCGATAGGCAAGTACTTAAAATGAGGCGTAACCCTCACAGTGAAATGAAATACTGCAAAACCATGAACAACAACAACAACAAAGAGGTCGCCATTCTATGTCCTGACGTGGGATGCTTTCCCAAGACGGACTCTGTTATGGTTCAGTGAAAGACAGAAGTCACTGTGCAGCAAACAGAGTATGAACTGCTCTCTATAAAAACACTTATACACGCACACGCTGGGGAAAGGACATGGCTACAGTGCTCACTGAGCTACGCAGTGGCTACCCTGGACAAAGAAACGTGTGTCAGGGGCACTGCAGGATGGGGAAGAGAGTCTGCCAAACTCCACTCCGTATTCTACCACACCATTTAGAAAACTTACCTTGTAATTGTATTCATGTTGTGTTTTTACAATTTATTTATTTTTGGTTTTCTGAGACAGGGTTTTGCTATGTAGCCCAGACTGGCCTTGAACTCGAGGTGATCCTCCTGCCTCAGCCCCCAGAAGTGCTGGGATTACAGGAGTGCACTACCACAGATGGCTACTTTTATAACAATTTTAAAAAGGAAAAGGGAGAGGAAATATGCACAGAGAACAAATGTACCAAGTAGGATCACTGGACCACAGGGTATAAAATCTGAAAAAGTGGACTGGGAGTATATAACAGTGGCTGCCAGAGGCCAGAGAGAGGTGAGGGGCAGGAGAAACAGCTGGTCACAGGATACAAAATTTTAGTTAGGAACAAGATGCAAGAGCTCTATTGTACAATACATGGTTGTAATCAGTGGCAATGCACTATATTTCTGAAAATCACTAGAAAGTAGGCTTTGAATATCGCCAACACGAAACCATCATATACGCAGTAACACGTGTGTTAACTAGCTTGGTACGCTCCACACTGTATGCGTATTTCAAAACATCATGTCGCACATGATACGTTCAAATCACATTTGTCATTTATACAATACAGCATGTTCCAAAGAGTTACAAGTAATTATTTCTTGTCATCACACCTGTACAATGACCTCATTTTCAAAACCAAGAATTACACCTGACAAACAATCAAAATACAGAAAATTAGTCAGGCCTGGAAAATCTAAGAGATACAATTTTCATGGTTACTTTTAAATTGTCACACAAGACAATCATCATAAAATTTGGATCATTAAAAATCCAAAAGTGATTTGTCCCAATCACAAAGCAAATCTATGGCAGATCTAAAAGTCCTTGTTACAGAGCTCTTGGCATTTGGCCAAAGAAAGACTTAGGAGCTGGCTGGAATGACCACATGAACTGAATGCACCTTAATAGCCGGCTTTGCATAATTCAGTAGCAAGATGACTGGATAAGTCCACAGAAGCTGAGAGAGGGGAATTAGCAATACCAGGTACAGCAACTGGGGGCACAGGCTTCCAGCAACCAATTTAGGACTCATTAGGACTCTGCCTCTCTTCCATCAGCACAACTCTAGTCCCAAAGTAACCTGGAAAGTTAAGTTTCACTGTCCTTTATCTTAGTGGAAGGCAAGGTTCAGCAATTGCTCCAACATTCTTTTACCTCCATATCTCTGGTCATAGCAATTAAAGTCTGGACATCCTACATCAGCATGAAAATTCCCTCAGCACTAAAAATGATGAGGACAGCTGAGGAAAGCTCCCAAAGGAAGCTATGTTCCCAACCTTCTCTCCATTTCTCTTTTTTCTAACTAGCATCTCAAAAAGTCCATCTAGAAATTCTAGTGACTGGAGAAAACATTAAGCAAAGCCTAAGTGAAAACAGAGAACTGGAATCTCCCTATTTGGTATTTCAGCTTCGACAGGATGATAGTAACATCCCCTCCACCCAAGTTTCTTCCTCTTTGGCAGAGCAAGAAAGGAGCTATTTACATGCTAGGTCTTCCTCCCCATCACAGCTGTCCTCTAGGTTTTGCTAAAACAGCAGGTGACAAAGAATTGCTCACCACCAAACTAAAGCAGAGTACAATGCTCCAAGAGAACCTGGGGGAGAAACCTACCACACAGCCCACAAGATTCCTGAAAAACCTTAACTGTCCAGATTCCACAGCCAACCCCGTGGCTTACAGGACAAACCCGGAGACTGACCTCGTGGCGTCTCGCAGCCAACAGACACAGCGTCCGTCACCCAGTCTTCCAGCCCTGTCCCTGCAACTGCAGGTTCTGACAGCTTCCAGGTCTTCCCCATTCATGGACATAAAACCTGGAGAAACCTGAGCCAGTTCAACAGCACCAGAGTATCACAGAGGAGGCACCACAGGCCTTGCCCCCTGCCTCTGAAACCTCTGTGTCTTAGAAGGCACCTGCACACGCTG